ATCGAGGTTCATGGATTTAATTGAATTTGAAGATTATGGTTAGGAACAAAATATTTTTTTTATCAGCTTGTTGCATTCTGGTTCATGCAGCTTGTAAAAATATTTTTTTACCCTAATGATCTGCGCAAATAAATCCCTTACGTAAAGATGCTTTTCATCAAGTCATCTTTTGAATGAATCTTCTTAAATTAGGATTTCCTTCAGCTCGTTTCCAATAAAATCTCATCAGCGAGCTTATAAAACAAAATTCCATTAGCGTATTTAAAAACACCTCCTATAAAATCGATCCACTCCTCTATATACTGACTTCTGTTTATAAAGATTCTTTATATTCAGTTCGTCTACAAAAAAACCTCCCTTTAATTTGTCTAGACAGAGTCACTTCAGATCTTCTATAAGGGCACTCTTCAGCTCCTCTGAAAATATTCCTTCTGTTCATCTTTAGACTCCTTTTAGATCGTCTTAAAATACTCCCTTCAGATCGTCTATAAAGACTCCCTTCAGCTCGTCTATAACGACTCCCTTCAGCTCGTCTATAAAGACTCCCTTCAGCTCGTCTATAAATACTCCCTTCAGCTCGTCTATAAAGACTCCCTTCAGCTCGTCTATAAAGACTCCCTTCAGCTCGTCTATAAAGACTCCCTTCAGCTCGTCTATAAAGACTCCCTTCAGCTCGTCTATAAAGACTCCCTTCAGCTCGTCTATAAAGACTCCCTTCAGCTTGTCTATAAAGACTCCCTTCAGCTCGTCTATAAAGACTCCCTTCAGCTCGTCTATAAAGACTCCCTTCAGCTCGTCTATAAAGACTCCCTTCAGCTCGTGTATAGGTGCATTATTTGATTTTATATTAACAATTTTATTTACATTTAAAAATTCAACAATTTATGATTTGAAGATCCATGTACATTTCCAAATTTTAGTCCTAAATAGTAAGTAACTAATCTCCAAATCAAATGGCAGTTTCATTATAATTTTAATTATCTTTAACTAATGAATTGTTTGCATTAAACGCCGCCAATTTTTCGACATACTTATGACCTTCATCATAGAATGGATTTGATTCTTCACGTACTCTGGCTAACCAATCAGTGATTTTGGGAAATTTCTTAGTGACATCGTAATTGCAGATTTCTAGAAAAGGAAAACAGTTCTTATTAGAATATTGGAATTATTAAATAATATTGAAATACAAAATAATATTGAATAAAATATCTAATTGAATAAAAACCGCAAGGTGAAAATTTTTAATACCACCTCAAATTGATGTACGACTCCATAAAATTTTTTACTCACTTGTCTGTTCAATTTCACATGCCCCAAATAGATCAGCCACGGTCAGAGCATTGCCGCTAACAAATTTTCTATCATTCAGCCACATTGTTTCCAAATATTTCAAATGTGTTTCCATTTCTTTACGAAATTTGGCAGCTTCTTCTGCAGTTGGTTTTTCAGCCATACCTCTCATGGGATATAACCATAGGCGGGCAAAATAGAAGGCACAACCATAACGTATAGACAAATGTTGCCATTCCAAAAATTCATCGACACGTGCACGTTCCTTAATATCCTTTGGGTAGAGTTTTTCACAGAATAAACCCTTATCGGATAAATATCTGAAAATGGAAAAGGAGATTAAAATAAGTGTTTTTTTAATATTGAAAGATAGGGGTTACTGATGTTTGCTTTAGATTTAAAAAATAGTTCAAATCTCTTATAAAAATACACAGAAATCACCTCAATCGCTACAAAACAATTTGTGGATCTTAAATATTTCCAATTTATTTTCTGAGGATAATTTCTTCACAAATCGGCAAAATGCTATCTGTAAAATTAGCAGAGTGCCTTTCCATTAGTTCCATTTATTAATTTCATAAATATTTACCTTAAAATCGCCACCGATTCACTCAAATGAAAATCCCCATCCACAATACATGGTACCTTTTGGAAGCGATTAATTTTCTTAAATGCCTCGGTCCGTTGTTCCACTGTAATAGAGATAACAGATAAGAAATTTGTATTTTGTTTTGTATTGATGTTTTTTGCTAGCAGTAATATTAACCTACTTACATTTTCTAAGTGCTACCGGACAATCTTCATAGGGTATTTTACCCATTTGCAGGGCAATCCATAAGGCACGGGATGGTTGCGATAGCAAATCATAGAAATATTTTACTTTAGACATGTTTTGAGATTAATTATTTCTAATTTTTTTTAATATGGAAATCTGTTCAGATTTGGTTCGACAGTTCTTTTTGGCAGATCACCTGCAAATCCCACTAGTTGTTAGCGGCGACTAAAGTTCAATTGGATTTTGGTTTTGTTTCGGCTGGAGTATGTGCTCTTAATAGTTTCTCTCTCTCTCCAATGAATGGTGTTGCCATTTTGGGATTTTTTGACCAAAAATACTAAAATATTGTTTGTATATAAAATCGATATTAATTGAATATTTAATTTTCTCTAATTTCGTAACTATGGTTTTAAAGGTTCCACCACTATTAGAAAAAAACAAAGTCCAGTTCCATTATCTTTTTGATTATTTTTAGAACATTTTTCTTATTTTTTTCTAAAATATTTAAAACTACCAATCTGGCAACTAAAATAGTTGTTTATGTCTCTCCCGAAAATATGTTCGGCACCGGCCCCAAAAATCAAAAGCTTTTTTATTAATAATAAAAACATGGCAAAAAGCTTATGTTAAGTGTTGCTAAATATACGGTGAAGCAAAAACGTGCTATTCTAGAAACCTAAATATTTTATGGACTTGTCGGAACCATGATACATGGTCTGTTCCAGAACCTGCAAGAATGTAAAATTTTTTTACTACGATAACAAATTTTCCTTTATGATATCGAAAAAATAGTAAAAAGTAGTAGATTCTTGCAGTACGGGAATAGACCAACAATATATAGGTATTTTATTATTAGCGCAGCTGACTATTCGATTAACTGTCAAAGTGCGACATTTCTACTTGAATTCGATGTGAAATGTTGTCAACCATCAGAATAGATAAAATTTGACACATGGTCGAATAAAAAACAGTAAGGAATGTTCAAAAGTCGGACGGGGCCGACTATATGATCTAAATCTGAAGCGATACCAACAAAACCTCGCATACATAAATTTGAACCTAATTCAGTACGCTGTGCAAAGTTTTGTCCCAATCGGCCTAAATTTCACTCTTTGGTGCTCCATTTACATAAAATCGGAAGAAACTATATATGGAAGCTATATATAACCTGAACCGATTTCAACAAAACATCGCATACCTCAATCTGGACCTAAGTCCGTACTCTGTGCAAAACTTTCTCTCAATCGGACCAATATTGCCAGTATGGTGCTCCATTTGCATAGATTCGAACGAAACATAGAATCGAACGAAAATCTAAATCTTAACCGATTTCAACAAAACTTCGCATACATCAATCTAGACCTAAGTCAGTACTCTGTGCAACATTTTGTCTCAATCGAACCAATATTGGGTGTTTGGTGCACCATTTACATAAAATCCCACGAAACTATATATGGTAGCTATATCTAAATCTGAACCGATTTCAACAAAACTTTGCATACATCAATCTAGACCTAATTCAATACTCTGTGCTAGATTTTTTCTCAATCGAACCAATATTGGGTGTTTGGTGCACCATTAACATAAAATCGCACTAAACTATATATGGTAGGTATATCTAAACCTGAACCGATTTTCTCCAATTTCAATAAGGTTCGTCCTTGGGCTAAATAAGTGATATGTGCCAAATTTCATCCAAATCGGATCATAAATGCGACCTGCACTTTGTTCATAAAAATACATGGAAGGAGGGACGTGCATAAATCGACGGGTATAAACAGAAGGGTATAAACAGATGTTTTTGTTTTGATATGACGCCTTATTACTGCATCATGGTCTGAACCAAAGTCAAATATATAAGGTCATCCATAGAGACCTGCTGGATATCAGCTGACTCTCAAGTTTACTGTCAAAATCTTCCATTATAAAAACGTAAACAACGCCAAAATTTGTCACATCAGACTTGAAAAAAAACAGCTGACTCTCGCTAGCTGGGTGAACTTATTAATAGATCTTGGTCGGAACTAAGGCCTATTAATAAGGTCATTCACGGAGACCAGCTGCTTCTCACGTTTACTGTCAGAATCGATTATTGTGAATTAACTCCCATTATGAAAACGTCCAAAATTTTTGACATTAGACTTGAGAAAAATCTGCATAGTATCGCTTGCTGGGTGACCTCATTATTAGATCTTGATAGAGTTTTATTTTTTTCACTCTAGCGGGTCTAGCTCGCTGGCAAGAACTGCGGCCACATAGGCTGAGGTCCCCAGGACAAGTTAGATTTTTTTATAACTAGAGGTCTTTTATAGAAAATCTTTCAGGAGGCATTTAAAAAATAGATTTTATTTTATTTCATAGAAAACCATAGTTTAGAAAAACATTCGAAACTTTTTCCATCTTCAAAAATTTAACTTATTTACCTTCTAACCCGCTTATCATTCCGTAAACAAATTTCAATACAAAGAAATGGTTTTATCAAAATCGTTTTTTAAACATTTTTTATTACAAATAAAATAAATAAGCGATAAAAAAACACAAAAACAATCAATTATGCAACAAAAATCGCACACACCCTCTAATCGATATCCAATTTACGGAATGAACCACTGGTACTACCACCAAACAAATCATTAATTCCATTTTCGCCTTGACGCAATTTTTCATCCACACCATACTGGTCATCCTCATCGAAATAGGATTTATAGGTCATCAAAAGTTTTTCATAATTCTTTTCGGATTCATCAAAACTGCTATTGGTGCCACCAAATTCAGCGGGTAAATACTCCTTGCCGATGGCTTGTTGTAAAGATTCCAAATTTGGGTGGATGTTGAGCTGGGAAAAATGAAAAAATAAGTCTCCATCTACAAGTAATCTAACCTCTCGTTCCGTCTCTCACTTACCAATTCCTTTTGCTTCATCACATTGCGTATGATCCCCAAAATAAGCTGCGCTTCCTTGGAGGCATTAACAATATGTGTACCCAACAAATTTGTTGGTATACCATATTCCAGTACCGATGACATTTGCCGGAACAAATTTGCTTCAAATTGTTTCAATATTCCAAATGGTATCTTCGAGAAATCCATAATCTCAATAACACCAGCAATATTCCAATTGTCATCGCTATTCGTTTCGATTTCACAACGCATTATATGAAAGCGGAAAATATCCTGCACGGTGTGTAGGGCAGGATTAATATTACCCATACGCATAACGTGTATACGTGGTCCACCGGGTCCTTTGGGCTTCGGCAGAGTACAGAAAATCCTAAACGATAAAAAGAGGAAGAACAAATAAGTTATAGGTTAAGTATGGATGGAATATATGTAGATGATCCTTAGGTACATGGACCTTTCCTAGATTAACTTCGTGGGAACTTGACAACATATTAAATCTATTGGAACAACCGGAAGGTCTTCATTTATATTCCAAATACTTTTAAGGGATCTTCTGAACATTCCAAAGATCTTTTGAACATAGACAGAATTTCGTTTGCAGATCTTTCTTATAAAGAAGACATTTTAAAGATCTTCAACAGACAAGGTCCTTTCAAACGTCCTCTGAACATACAATAACTTTTTTAAAGCGGTCTATAGACAATCTCACATTACCAGAAAGGTAACGGAAAGACAGAATAGGTCTTCTAAAGACTTAATGATCTCTAGAGATTGTCTGGAGAATATTTCTGAATACGGAAGAAGATCTTCAACAGACAAAAATTCATCCCCAAATATTGAAGAGTTCTTCGGAAGGGAATATAATACTCCTCTAAAGATGCAAGACCTTTCTGAGACGGGCAATAGTCAGACGATTCTAAAGTGGTCTTCGAAAGATAGAAAACTTTGAATAAATCTCGAAAGATAGAAAACCTTGAATAAATCTCGAATGATAGAATAGGTCTTCTACAGACAGAAGATCTTCAACAGACAAAAATTCATCCCCAAATATTGAAGAGTTCTTCGGAAGGGAATATAATACTCCTCTAAAGATGCAAGACCTTTCTGAGACGGGCAATAGTCAGACGATCCTAAAGTGGTCTTCGAAAGATAGAAAACCTTGAATAAATCTCGAAAGACAGAATAGGTCTTCTACAGAAAGAATGATGTGATCTCTATAAGCATTCTGGAGATTGAATTCCATTGACAATATCCTCCCAAGATCTTGAAGAGTTGTTTCGAAGAGCTTATTTAGGAAAAATGTCTTCCTGAACGAAATGACAGAGGTTAAGAGGTATCTGAAGACATACAGGTTAGCAAGGGTCTTCGAACGATAGAAAACCTTGGCGGAGTCCTCAGATGATAGACGACCCTTAACAGGCATTTTGAGGTTTCCTACAGACACATGGTCCTTCAGAGGTTTTCTGGAGATTAAAGTTCCTTAAGTAGTCTTTTTAAGATGTAATTCCTTTTAGATATCTTTTTGAAGATAGAATACTATTATAGGTATTCTACAGACGGAAAGTCCCCCCGAGATCCTAAAGAGGTCTTCTGAAGGGAAATGAAGACCATTTACAATTTCTTTTTTGAGGAAAAAGTATTTCAATTTTTCTAAGTATGGAAGATAGGAAGTTCGCCAGGAAACAATAGGAAACATCGAAAGGGTCTTCAAAAGATAGAAGACCCTTCTGGCCTCGAAAGGTTTTCTGAAGATATCATTTTTAGAAGACCTGATGCAAATTTTCGGAAGACATACAAAGTTGCAAGTACCTTCTGAAGGTATTTTCTGAAATCAGAGGATTTCACTGTCAGTTGTAGGTAATCTGTAGATAAAATATTGAGGTCTTCTGTTGACTGAAGTCCATAAAGACGCCTCATCAAAATAAAGAACTTTCAAGAAGCATTTGCATGATAAAAATAACTTCCAGAGATCTTCGGAATATAGAAGACATTTAAGAGGTTTTCTACAAAAACATTCAAGAGGTCTTCTAAAGATATTCGACCATCTACAGTTTTTCCAGAAACATTATGAAATTCGAAGACCTTCTTGGGGTATTCTAGTCCATCAAAGAAAAAAGAAGACCATAATCTAAAGGTAAAATACAGTCCGAGGTTTTTAAATATAAAAGGTTTTCCAGAATAACGGCTTCTTTAAAAAGAGAACCTTCAAGAACCTTCATGATAAAAATATAGAGGAATATAGAGAATACCATCCAAGGCCATCTAAAGATAGAATAACATAAGCGGTCTCCTCAAGAAAACTTCTGAAGGAATTGGACCTTCCGAATGCTTTCTGAAATTGAACAAGAGGTCATCTAAAGAAGGAAAACATACCAAATAGTCTCCAGAAAATAAATGATCATCGGGATGTCAAAAACCCTGAAGACCATCGAGAAGACAGACATAAACTAAAGATAGAAGCCTTTCAAGACGTCTTCGGAAAATAATAGAGTTTGCAGAGGTAATTTGAAGAAGGAAAACTTTCCAGAGACCTTCAGAAGATAAATCATATTGTGGATGTCTTCTTAAGTTAAGATGACTTCCATAGGTTTTCGAAAACTAGAAGAGGTCTTCACAAAAACTTGAAGGCCTTCGAAATGTCTTTCAGCTTTCTTCAGAGCTCGTCAGAAGACTCGAATCAAATTTCGGATGTCATCCAATGAACTTCAAAAGACAGAAAAAGTTTTTCAGAAAAACTAAAAATCTTCTCATCCTTTCAGGGGTCTTCAAAGCTCTTCAGAAAATAACCGATCTTCACAAAACCCTGAAGAACTTCGAGAGATCATTTACATAGAGAGGGCTTTCAAGATCATCTGAAGGTAGAAAGTCTTTCAGTTTTCTTCAGAGCTCGCCAGAAGACGAGTCAAATTTCGAATGTCTTCCAAAGGACATCGAAAAACAGAAGAGAGGTTTCAGAAAAACTGAAGATCTTCGTAGCCTTTCAGTGGTCTTCAAATAATTGATCTTCACAAAAACCTAAAGGCCTTCAACATATTTTACAAACAAAAGTCTTTTAAGATATTCCGAAGATAGAAAATCTCTCAGTTTTCTTCAGAGCTCGCCAGAAGACGAATTACGTTCCGGATATATTCCAAACGGCTTAGAGAAACAAAAGAGATTTTTCAAATAAACAAACTGAGAACCTTTTAGTGCTATTCAAAGCTCTTTAGAAGATAACTGATCTTCACAGAACCCCGAAAACATTCGAGAGCTCATTTACGGAGAGAGGACTTTCAGGATCATCTGATGGAAGCTTTTCAGTTTTCTTCGGAGCTTGCCAGAAGATCAATGATATTCCGGAGGTCTTCCAAACGTCATCGAAACACAGAAGAGGTTTAAAAAAAACTGAAGTCCTTCTATTCGACTTTAACAGACAAGAGATAGTCTGGAGATACAAAACATTCAAGAGGTCTTCTATAGGCGTAGCAATTATAAGATTTCTTTTATAAACCGAATATATTTGAAAAGAACTTCCACAACAGCTGTTTTATAGACGAGTATATGCAGAGGACTTTTTCAAGTCCTCTCCTATATAAAAAGATTTTTTAATGATTAAAAAATATTTCCCAAAAATACGTTGGGAAGTTCTTCAGTCCAAAAACATCATAGAGAGGGAATCCTTGGTTGAGTACTTACTAAGGTCTCTTGCAGTAAAATCCTTACGTATCCTTGCTTGAGTACTTAATAAGTTCCCTTGAAATAGAATCCTACAGCATCCTTGCTTGAGTACTTACTAAGGTATCTTACAGTAGAATCCTTCCTTTTTGTTTTGCCTGACTACAAAAACGATTTACGTTCCGATAAAAAATATTTCCCAATCACTGATCACGTTTCTTTATTATTTTTTACGGGTCAATCACATTTCCATCATCACTCAAATAAATGCCCCCAAAATCCCAAACACCCACTAATCTACACAACGATACATCCCTCCCCTCCACCATTAATCAAAACATGCTTACTCACCCCGATCTGGCAATATCGATAATCTTATCATCAATATGTCTTGATTTCAACAGATCTTTAGCCGATGATTTGTAGGTATAAAAATAGTCGATACGTTTCTTGGCACTCTCCAGGCTATATTTACAAAATCTTAAGAATGCAATTAAAAATTGATCATCGGTGCGGGCCTTCAGGTGGGGTTCCTTTTTAATCCATTCACGCAGGGCTTCCAAATCGGCAGGAATTCGTGATTTCACTTCATTTAATTCCGTGCGGGCAATTTCTTCAAGTTCAGGATTTAGGGGTCTTAGTTGAGCCATTTCGATTTTTTGTATTTTATTTATTAATTTTTAAATTCTCTGTGAGGTTGCGGAGCCCACCGATAACTTTTTCGCCTCTGTGCAAATCCGAATTATAACTGTTTTTACTTCGATATTTTTTGAAGCTAAAAAGCGGTGTTTTTTCGCCGGTATGGGAAGATAGAGGCATTTATTCTATACTGCTGTTTTTTTCTTTGTCATACATTCTCTGATACATATCCGATACATGTATATATCATATGCAGACATACAAACAAACATTCGTTTCTTTAACGCTATTTAAATTGATAAGATATTGTCGCTGGCCGATTAATTGTATCGAAACAAACAAATAATAAAATATTCGTTTATGTTTATCGTGAATAATTTCAGAATACACGAAGAAAAATTAGCGCAGGGCGAAGTTCGAAAATCTTCTTTTAAAATCCACGCCTTGTATAGACCCTAAAAGAAATCTTCTTTTAAAATCCACGCCTTGTATAGACCCTAAAAGAAATCTTCTTTTAAAATCCACGCCTTGTATAGACCCTAAAAGAAATCTTCTTTTAAAATCCACGCCTTGTATAGACCCTAAAAGAAATCTTCTTTTAAAATCCACGCCTTGTATAGACCCTAAAAGAAATCTTCTTTTAAAATCCACGCCTTGTATAGACCCTAAAAGAAATCTTCTTTTAAAATCCACGCCTTGTATAGACCCTAAAAGAAATCTTCTTTTAAAATCCACGCCTTGTATAGACCCTAAAAGAAATCTTCTTTTAAAATCCACGCCTTGTATAGACCCTAAAAGAAATCTTCTTTTAAAATCCACGCCTTGTATAGACCCTAAAAGAAATCTTCTTTTAAAATCCACGCCTTGTATAGACCCTAAAAGAAATCTTCTTTTAAAATCCACGCCTTGTATAGACCCTAAAAGAAATCTTCTTTTAAAATCCACGCCTTGTATAGACCCTAAAAGAAATCTTCTTTTAAAATCCACGCCTTGTATAGACCCCGAAAGAAATCTTCTTTTAAAATCCACGCCTTGTATAGACCCGGAATAAAGTATTCTTTAAAAATCGACGCCTTGTATAGACCAGGAAAAAATATTCTTCAAAAATCCACGCCTTGTATAGACCCCGAAAAAAGTATAGTCCCCAAAAAAATCTGATAGTCCTTCAATTCTTCCAAGACCCCAATTTTTTTTCTGCGTGTGTTTATCAGCAGACATGGTCATATGCACACAAAATTTGCGATTATAACCTGTCATGGTCCAACAAGTGGGGTCCATAAAAAAAAACTTTTCATACTTTGCCTCTTTTTGTTGTTGTTGTCGCCTATTCGAATATGTACTAAACATGACAAACTAAATGCGAATTTTTCTTTTATCATTTCACATGAACCCCATCAACAACAAAAACGTATGAATTTCTTCATAAAGGTTGTATATTGATTGTTAGCATTTATGAACGATTACGCTGACATATATATACACACAATTTGTGTATATATGTATGTGAATAGCATTACTATGCAAAAAATATATACTAAGTATCCAATATGTTTGGGAATATTGTGTATATTGCGTCAGGTGGTTTTCTTGTGCGAAAAAAAAAATAAATATCAGACAAAAAATATATATTGCACATTGAAAAAATGGCATGAGTGGCACAGTGGGTTCAAACAAATGCAAATATTCAATACAAATTTACAACTTTATAAATAAAATAAGAGGATAACATAATAGAATATTTTGTGGTTCTTCATGAGTACTTAGTAAGGTCTCTTGCAGTAGAATTCTTCCGTATCCTTCCATGAGCACTTACAAAGGTCTCTTGCTGTAAAATCCTTCAGTATCCTTTCATGAATACTTACTTAGGTCCCTTGCAATAAAATCCTTACGTATTCTTGCCTGAGTACTTACTTAGGTCCCTTGCAGTAAAATCCATCTATATCCTTGCTTGAATACTTTCTAAGGTCTCTTAAAGTAGAATCCTTCCGTATACTTGCTTGAGTATTTACTTAGGTATCTTGCGTTTGAATCCTAATCCTTGCTTGAATACTTACTAAGGTCTCTAGCGGTAGAATCCGTTCGTATCATTGCTTGAATACTTACTAAGGTCTCTTACAGTAGAATCCTTCCTTATCCTTGCTTGAGTACTTACTAAGTTCCCCTGGAATATAATCCTGTAGCATTCTTACTTAAGGGGACCCCCCCATTCTCGGTGTCAAAATTTTTTTTGATTTAATTCGAATCTACTCTAATTCTAGAATGTTCCTACAAAATTTCAAGTAAAAATCTCAAGAACTCTTGAAGATATAGCCGATTTATTGTGTCAGCATCAAGTGGCGGCTAAAGGGCTTCTCAAACTTTAAACGCGTTTTTCTCAAAACGAATGGCGGGCACGATAACTCAAAAACTAGTAATCCAATCGGTTTCAAATTTTGACACGTTTCTCTGGGAGTGTGTAGCTCTCGTATGAACTAGGATAAAGCCAATCGGTGAAAATCTTCCTTATTTTTTAACTTAGTTTGTGGTAAAAAATAGGCGATTTTCCATAAAAAAATTTTCAAAGTTCCGCCATTTTGTTAATTGTTGTGCGAAGTCAATAATCCTAGTTCATACGAGAGCCAGACATGTCCTCTTTCTAACACAGTTGGAATTTTCGGATTCCGATGTTCCAGTGAGGAGTTATCATGCCCGCCATCGAAAATATGGACTTTTCTTTGAACCCAAAAAACAACAACAAAACAACAACAACAAATTTTGGTAAATTATTTTTCTTCCTTTTTAAATCTTCAAATATATATGTGCCAAGTTACAAACCTTAACAAGCATTGGTATTCATTTACCAGCCCATTTAAAATCTTAAAAATAAAAAATCGAGAATGGGGGGGTTCCCTTAAGTACTTACTAAGGTCTCCTGCAGTAGAATCCTTTCGTGTACTTGATTGAGTTGTTCCTGTGAACATGTGGAGATATGTTACGTATAGATGTAATTGTAGAAGTCTCTTAAATAAATATCACAAACACTCACAGATCTCCAAAGAAAAGAATCTATGGTCAGGATGACTTTTTCGTGTGTACCTTTTCGAATTGGCTAAAATTTAATTTTTGAGCTTAAATTAGATAGCAAATATTCCTACAAAATATTTTCAAATATTGGTCCACTTATTCAACATATAGATTAAGGTTAGGTTGACCATCACATGTCCAATACTACACCTAAGCCTGTAAGTGGCGTGTTGTGCACTCTAGATAAGAAATAATTTTAGAAGAAGTCCTCTTTGTATTTGATTGTCCTAAATTTCTAGGAATTATCTTTTGTTTCTGAAATCCTTCATTTTTTTATTTACACCTCCTATGGTAGGTCACGCCTTTTGTAGTTCCCGGAAAAAAAAATTCTTTAAGAAAACCACGCCTTTTGTAGTCCCCGAAAAAATATTCTTTAAGAAATCCACGCCTTTTGTAGTCCCCGAAAAAAGATTCTTTAAGAAATCCACGCCTTTGTTAGTCCCCGAAAAAATATTCTTTATAAAATCCACGCCTTTTGTAGTCCCCGAAAAAATTTTCATTAAGAAATCCGCGCCTTTTGTAGTCCCCGAAAAATTTTTCTTTAAGAAATCCGCGCCTTTTGTAGTCCCCGAAAAAATATTCCTTAAGAAATCCATGCCTTTTGTAGTCCCCGAAAAAAAATTCTTTAAGAAATCCATGCCTTTTGTAGTCCCCGAAAAAATATTCTTTAAGAAATCCACGCCTTTTGTAGTCCCCGAAAAAAATATTCTTTAAGAAATCCACGTCTAGGTCCCCGAAAAAAATATTCTTTAAGAAATCCACGCCTAGGTCCCCGAAAAAATATTCTTTAAGAAATCCACGCCTAGGTCCCCGAAAAAATATTCTTTAAGAAATCCACGCCTAGGTCCCCGAAAAAAATATTCTTTAAGAAATCCACGCCTAGGTCCCCGAAAAAAATATTCTTTAAGAAATCCACGCCTAGGTCCCCGAAAAAAATATTCTTTAAGAAATCCACGCCTAGGTCCCCGAAAAAAATATTCTTTAAGAAATCCACGCCTAGGTCCCCGAAAAAAATATTCTTTAAGAAATCCACGCCTTTTGTAGTTCCCGAAAAAAATATTCTTTAAGAAATCCACGCCTTTTGTAGTTCCCGAAAAAAATATTCTTTAAGAAATCCACGCCTTTTGTAGTTCCCGAAAAAAATATTCTTTAAAAAATATTATTTAAGAAATCCACGCCTTTGTCCCCGAAAAATATTCTTTAAGAAATCCACGCCTTTTGTAGTTCCCGAAAAAAATATTCTTTAAAAAATATTATTTAAGAAATCCACGCCTTTGTCCCCGAAAAATATTCTTTAAGAAATCCACGCCTTTTGTAGTTCCCGAAAAAAATATTCTTTAAAAAATATTATTTAAGAAATCCACGCCTTTGTCCCCGAAAAATATTCTTTAAGAAATCCACGCCTTTGTCCCCGAAAAAATATTCTTTGTCCCCAAAAAAATATTCTTTAAGAAATCCACGCCTTGGTCTCCGAAAAAATATTCTTTAAGAAATCCACGCCTTGGTCCCCGAAAAAATATTCTTTAAGAAATCCACGCCTTGGTCCCCGAAAAAATATTCTTTAAGAAATCCACGCCTTGGTCCCCAAAAAAAATATTCTTTAAGAAATCCACGCCTTTCGTAGTTCCCGAAAAAATATATTCTTTAAGAAATCCATGCCTTTTGTAGTCCTCGAAAAATCCTTCAATAAATAGTAAAAAATTAAAATCCTTCAATAAATAGTAAACATTGACTACTTATTATAATTTGCACCTATCTTAATGATAATTGGCGCCCAACTGATTTATGTGTACCAATGATTAAATACCAACCGCTTTGGTATTCACAATAGACCTGTTCAGTAATTTTTTACAATTGACTGATTTCCTATTCTATTCTACTACTATACCAATGTTATTAAATAAAAGGAATCACTGCTATATTTTTATACCCTTCACCACACTGTGGTACAGGTTATTATGGCTTTGTGCATACGTTTGTAACAGGCAAAAGGAAACGAGATAGACACATGGTTCCTTTGGATAATATGCATAGAATCACTTTCTAAGTCGATTTATGCAAGTCCGTCCGTTTGTCTGTCCATGTATTTTTGTGAGCAAATTAAAGGTCGCATTTATGATCCGAATTGGATGAAATTTGGCACAGCACATTTGTTTGGCCCAAGGACGAACCCTATTGAAATTGGGAAAAATCGGTTCAGATATAGATATAGCTCCCATATATATATTTAACCGATTTAATGTAAACGGTCCCTATATATCTTTCGATTTGCACGAAATTTGGTACAGCCTAATCATTTAGGTCTAGAATGATGTCTGCCAAGTTTCGTGAAAATCGGTCAAGATTTAGATATAGCTCCCATATATAGTTTCGTCCGATTTCATGTAAATGGTGCCCCAAAGTCCCTATATATCTTTCGATTTGCACGAAATTTGGCATAACGTATTGAATCAAGCCTAGAGTAATGTCTGCCAAATTTCGAGAATATCGGTTCAGATTTAGATATAGCTCCCATATATAGTTTCGCCCGATTTCATGTAAATGGTAAACCAAAGTCCCTATATATCCTTCGATTTGCACGAAATTTGGCATAACGTACTGAATTGAGCCTAGAGTGATGTCTGCCAAGTTTCGAGAAAATCGGTCCTAATTTAGATATAGCTCCCATATATAGTTTCGTTCGATTTTATGTAAATGGTGCACCAAAATCCCTATATATCTTTCGATTTGCAGGAAATTTGGCATAACGTACTGAATTGAGCCTAGAGTGATGTCTGCCAAGTTCCGAGAAAATCGGTCCTGATTTAGATATAGCTCCCATATATAGTTTCGTTCGATTTTATGTAAATGGTGCACCAAAGTCCCTATATATCCTTCGATTTGCAGGAAATTTGGCATAACGTACTGAATTCAGCCTACAGTGATGTCTGCCAAGTTTTGAGAAAATCGGTCCTGATTTAGATAAAGCTCCCATATATAGTTTCGTCCGATTTCATGTAAATGGTGCACCAAAGTCCCTATATATCCTTCGATATGCACGAATTTTGGCATAACGTACTGAATTGAGCCTAGAGTGATGTCTGCCTTGTTTCGTGAAAATCGGCCTAGATTTAAATATAGCTCCCATTTATTATAGATTGATTTTAAATAATTGACGCACCAAGGAACCATTAGGAACAAAACGTTCTCAAATTAGTATAACCTAAGCTGTGACAAGTTTGTTTGAAATCGCTTAATATGTGGATAGAGCTTCCATATATATTTTCGCCCGATTTCAAGTAAATCGGGGATCAAACTCCTCATGTTAGTCAGATTGACATCAAATTTTGCACAACTTACAAAATTGAGCATAGAATTGCGTAGTTGCGTTTTCTAGAAGTACAGATATAGCTGAACGGATGACCTATTTATATTTGTTTGAAGTCGATTTACATACTTTTGTCCCATTGTAACAAACGAATGACATGTTTATGGATAGATCTAGGTAGATTCACATTTAGGTAAATATCACATATTTTATTTCATCCAATTTCATGTTAATAGTCCTGTTTAATATACCCATAGTGGTGAAGGGTATCATATAGTCGGCCCCGTCCGACTTTACTACTTTCCTTACTGTTTTTTTTTAATTTTATGACCAAAGTGATTATTGGCGCCCAACTGATTCATGTGTACCAATGATCAGTTCTTTTTGTCAGTATACCAATATTATTAAAAGGAGTAAACACTGCTATTTTTTTAATCTTATTACCTAAGTGATTATTGGCGCCCAACTGATTCATGTGTATCAATGATCAGTTTTTTTTTTACCAATATGCCAATGTTATTACAAGAAGGATAGACTGCTAAATTTGTTTTTAAATTTTATTACCCAAATCTATAGAAATTTGTAGACTTGTGTAATCAGAAGTACATATTCAGATTAATTTTCTTATGTTTATTTTCAAAATCCGTCCTGTAATGTGTGAGATATCATTCTTAGATTAGTCGGATAACAATTGTTTTAAAATCAATAAAAGTATTATTTCTTATCAAAATTTCACCCACAATCTTTAAATTTGCTTTACAAAGGTCGTCATGTACCCATCACATACAACATTTACTGTCCTCCACACTGAAAACAAAAACGGAACGCTTCAAACTTATCACAAATAATTTTTGCCAACAAACAAATGTTCTGCTAATAATAATATACCATAGTTTAGCCTTGCGAACTTGACTACAACAACAAGAACCAGTAAGGAAAGTAGTAAAGTCGGACGGGGCCGACTATATGATACCCTTCACCACTATGGGTATATTAAACAGGACTATTAGCATGAAATTGGATGAAATAAAATATGTGGTATTTATCTAAATGTGAATCTACCTAGATCTATCCATAAAGTATGTAAATCGACTTCAAACAAATATAAATAGGTCATCCGTTGGGCTATGTCTGTAATTCTAGAAAACGCAACTACGTTATTCTATGCTCAATTTTGTACGATGTGCAAAATTTGATGTCAATCTGACTAACATGAGGAGTTTGATGTCCAATTTACTTGAAATCGGGCGGAAATATATATTTGGAAGCTCTAACCAAATATTAAGCGATTTCAAACAAACTTGTCACAGGTTAGGTTATACTAATTTCAGAACGTTTTGTTCCTATTGGTTCTTTGGTGCGTCAATTACTTAAAATCAATCTATAATAAAAGGGAGCTATATCTAAATCTGGACCGATTTTCACAAAACAAGGCAGACATCACTCTAGGCTCAAGTCAGTACGTTATGCGAAATTTCGTGCAAATCGAAGGACATATAGGCACTTTGGTGCACCATTTACATGAAATCGGACGAAACAATCGAAAGATATATAGGGACTTTGGAGCACCATTTACAAGAAATCGGACGAAACTATATATGAGAGCTATATCTAAATCTGGACCGATTCTCACGAAATTTGGCAGACATCATTCTAGACCTAAATAATTAGGCTGTACCAAATTTCGTGCAAATCGGAAGATATATAGGGACTTTGGGCACCATTTACATAAAATCGGACGAAACTATATATGGGAGATATATCTACATCAGGACCGATTTTCATGAAACTTGGCAGACATCATTCTAGGCTAAGTTAAGTACGTTATGCCAAATTTCGTGCAAATCGAAAGATATATAGGGACTTTGGGGCACCATTTACATGAAATCGGACGAAACTATATATGGGAGCTATGTCTAAATTTGGACCGATTTTCTCGAAAGTTGGCAGACATCATTCTAGGCTCAATTCAGTACGTTATGCCAAATTTCGTGCAAATCGAATGATATATAGGGACTTTGGGGCATCATTTACATGAAATCGGACGAAACTATATATGGGAGCTATATCTAAATTTGGACCGATTTTCTCGACAGTTGGTAGACATCATTCTAGGCTCAATTCAGTACGTTATGCCAAATTTCGAGCAAATCGAAAGATATATAGGGACTTTGGGGCACCATTTACTTGAAATCGGACGAAACTATATATGGGAGCTATATCTAAATCTGGACCGATTTTCACGAAACTTGTCAGACATCATTCTAGGCTCAATTCAGTACGATTTCTTGCGATTTGCACGAAATTTGGCATATTTCGTGCAAATCGAAAGGTATATAGGGACTTTGGGGCACCATTTACATGAAATCGGACGAAACTATATATGGGAGCTATGTCTAAATTTGGACCGATTTTCTCGAAAGTTGGCAAACATCATTCTAGGCTCAATTCAGTACGTTATGCCAAATTTCGTGCAAATCGAAGGATATATAGGGACTTTGGGGCACCATTTACATGAAATCCGACGAAACTATATATGGGAGCTATATCTAAATTTGGGCCGATTTTCTCGAAAGTTGGCAGACATTATTCTAGGCTCAATTCAGTACGTTATGCCAAATTTCGTGCAAATCGAAAGATATATAGGGACTTTGGGGCACCATTTACATGAAATCGGACGAAACTATATATGGGAGCTATATCTAAATCTGGACCGATTTTCACGAAACTTGGCAGACATCATTCTAGACCTAAATGATTAGGTTGTACCAAATTTCGTCCAAATCGAAAGATATATAGGGACCGTTTACATTAAATCGGTTAAATATATATATGGGAGCTATATCTAAATCTGAACCGATTTTTCCCAATTTCAATAGGGTTCGTCCTTGGGCCGAATAAGTGACCTATGCCAAATTTCATCCAATTCGGATCATAAATGCGACCTGTACTTTGTTTACAATTTAACATGGACAGACAGACAGACGGACGGACGGACGGACATGCATAAATCGACTTAGAAAGTGATTCTATGCATATTCTCAAAAGGAACCATGGGTCTATCTCGATTATTTTTGCCTGTTACAAACATATGCACAAAGACATAATACCCTGTACCACAGTGTGGTGAAGGGTATAAAAAGCTTATCAGAAAAAACAATAACAACAACATCCAAAAATATTAATTGCTTTCAATTGACCAGTTCGGATAACAACTATTCTTTGTGTTTAGAAGAAGAAAATAGTCTTAAATTCTGTTCGCAACACTTAAGACTTTCGTAACCTGGGCTAAGAAATGACGGCCGCTACATTAAAAATACGTCCCCTTAACGATGCCTTGAAAAAAGTGGCCAAAGAAGAGTTGAATGAAGTGGAAAGTCGCATAGCTGAAGATATTGAAGCTCTGAGGACATGGTTGGAGAAGCAACCCCACATTAAGGCCCGCACAGATGATCAATTTTTGGTCTCGTTTTTAAGAGGATGTAAATATAGTTTGGAAAAGACCAAATCGAAAGTGGATTATTTCTATACGATTAAGACCATGATGCCGGAATTGTTTGCCCGCAATACCATGGATGAGAAATCGATTAATTTGTGTAGATCAGGGTGAGTTTTTGTGGAGAAAGGGAGAGAGAGAGTACTTGAAATAATAACAAATTCTTCCATATTATCTTTGGCAGAACCTATGTCCGTTTACCCAAACCCTTGGGTGAGGGTGGTCCACGCATCCAACTCACAAACTATTCGAAATTTGATCCCAAACTATTTACAATTTTGGATTTGTTCCGTTTCCAAAATTTACTTATGGACTGGCAGATCTACAATGATGATAACTGTATTGTCAGTGGCTATATTGAAATTATTGACTTGACCAAATTGAGCCTCTCCTTTTTGACTCAATTCGATCCTATGTTAATTAAGAAATTGGGAGTTTTTACCGAAAAGGCAGCTCCGATGCGTTTCAAGGGTGTCCATTTGGTTAATTGTCCAAAGGAAGCCCAAACCGTTTTGAATTTGGCCCGCAGCATGATGAGTGAAAAGTTACAGAAACGTGTAAGTATTGAAATCGTTACTTCGGAACTTTGAATACCTTAATTGTATGAAAATCTTTCTCAGTTCTATGTCCACAAATCCCTCGAGGATCTTTACAAAATTATACCCAAAGAATATCTGCCCGTTGAATATGGCGGCACAAATGGTACAATTCCCGAATTAATTGAAGAAACCGAAAAGAATCTGTTGGCCCTGAATGATTATTTTGCCGAAGAGGATAAATATGGTGTTGATGAGCGATTGCGAACGGGTAAAAAGGTGGATATGGATTCACTGTTTGGTATTGAGGGTTCATTCCGCAAGTTGGATATTGATTAAAACATTATAAGGAGATTATTTGTAGTTGTAAATTTTGTAAATAAAGAAGAAAACTCTACGAAAAAACATTAAAAAACATCTAAGCATTTTGTACTCCCCGAAAAAATATTCTTTAAAAAATGCAGGCCTTTTGTACTCCCCAAAAAAATATTCTTTAATAAATTCAGGCCTTTTTTACTTCCTGAAAAATATTCTTAAACAAATCCTTTTGTACTTCCCGAAAAAATATTCTTTAATAAATTCAGGCCTTTTTTACTTCCTGAAAAATATTCTTAAACAAATCCTTTTGTACTTCCCGAAAAAATATTCTTTAAAAAATCCAGGCCTTTTTTACTTCCTGAAAAATATTCTTAAACAAATCCTTTTGTACTTCCCGAAAAAATATTCTTTAAAAAATCCACGCCTAAGCTAGGCCTTGAAAAAATATTCTTTTAAAAATCCACGCCTATGCTAGGCCTTGAAAAAATATTCTTTTAAAAATCCACGCCTATGCTAGGCCTTGAAAAAATATTCTTTTAAAAATCCACGCCTATGCTAGGCCTTGAAAAAATATTCTTTAAAAAATCCACGCCTAAGCTAGGCTTTGAATCATTATTCTTTAAAAAATCAACGCCTTAGATAGGCCTTGAAAAAATATTCTTTAAAAAATCCCCACCTTATATAGGCCTTGAAAAGATGATTGAAAAAGTTTGTCAGGAACAATTCCGAGTTCCTTGATCTCCTACTGTGCCATTGATATCTATTCCCCAAATTTCCGATTCATCCCGTTACAATCGCCCTCCATATTTAATTGAATGTAAAATATGTGTGTATTGTCAATATTTTATTAGTCCTTCAAATACATTAAACTCCGCGAAATGTGTCATTATATGGATTGACAGAAGCTCTTGGCATCCCTCCACCAACCTATCTGTACAACTGATAAAACGTTAATGGAAATGATAACAGGTTGACTGATGATGGAGACAATTTGGTACCAAATAAAGCAATAAACAGATGGTGTCTCGAACAGACCTAATTAAATCAGAATGCTACCAGAATTATTCCAACCTTCGAATAGAGTGGTAATATAATAGTGACAACAATAATTCCGAATTTTTGCAAGATGTTAAACTTACGTTGTGCTAATTAATGACAAACCAGCCAGACAAAATGTCGGACGATAGCCAGGTATGCCCACAAATATTTTGGTTCAATTTTTCCTGCAAATATAATTTTCTTTTGTTCCCCTTTAGTTCGATTTCAGCAAATGGGATTTCCCCGAGGATCGCATATGGCTACACATTCCGGAATCGGAGATGATCATAAAAATCTGTACCTTTGTACCGGTTTTGATTTTCGGTTTAATTGGCAATTATATTATCGTACGTTTGATTGTTAAAAATCGGGCCTTGAGAACTCCAACAAATTTAATTATTGCCAATATGGCAGTGGCGGATTTATTAACCCTGTTAATATGTCCCTCGATGTTTCTCATAAATGATTTCTATCAAAATTATTTACTCGGATCAGTTGGCTGTAAATTGGAAGGATTTTTGGAGGGGGCATTTTTAATAACAGCCGTGTTGAACCTTTCTGCGGTGAGCTATGATCGTTTAACGGCCATTGTTTTGCCAAGTGAGGCCCGTTTGACAATGAGAGGAGCCAAAATTGTCATATTCTTTACATGGTTGGCAGGGATTTTGATAGCCTTGCCATTGGCCATATATCGAACATATAAGGTGAGATTCGGAATGGTCACTTATTTGTATTTTTTGTATTTTAAAAAATCGTTTTTCAGGTTCGTCATTGGAAAAACTTCACGGAGATGTATTGTAAAGAAAATCCCAATATTTTACCAAAATACTGGTATGTTCTAATAACGGTAATGGTTTGGTTGCCCTTGGCCATAATGCTGATTTGTTATACGGCTATATTTTATAAGGTGAGATGGATTTTTTAAGAATATTTTTCAAGGCCTACCTAAGGCGTGGATTTTTTAAAGATTATTTTTTCGATGCCTACCTAAGGTGTGGATTTTTTAAAAATATTTTTTCAAGGACTACCTAAGGCGTGGATTTTTTTTAAAATATTTTTTTCAAGGCCTACCTATGGCGTGGATTTTTTAAAGAATATTTTTTCAAGGCCTACCTAAGGTGTGGATTTTTTAAAGAATTTTTTTCAAGGCGTGGATTTTTTAAAGAATTTTTTTTTTCAATGCGTGGATTTTTAAAAAAAAATTTTTTTCAAGTCGTGGATTTTTCAAAGAATTTTTTTCAAGGCGTGGATTTTTTAAAACATTTTTTTCAAGGCGTGGATTTTTTAAAAAAAAATTATTCAAGGCGTGTATTTTTTAAAGATTTTTTTTTTAATGCGTGGATTTTTTAAAGAATTTTTTTTTCAAGTCGTGAATTTTTTAAAGAATTTTTTCAAGGCGTGGATTTTTTAAAGAATTTTTTCAAGGCGTGGATTTTTTAAAGAATTTTTTCAAGGCGTGGATTTTTTAAAGAAATTTTTTTTAAGGCGTGGATTTCTTAAAGATTTTTTTTTTAAGGCGTGGATTTTTTAAAGTATTTTTTTAAGGCGTGGATTTCTTAAAGAATTTTTTTAAGGCGTGGATTTTTTAAAGAATTTTTTTAAGGCTTGGATTTTTTAAAGAATTTTTTTTTTCAAGATGCAACAAAGCTTAGAGTTTATTTTAATATGTTTTCAAATTTATCCCCCACAGTTGGATCGTTATGAAAAACGTGTCCTAAATCGTGAACACCCCCTGACAGTATCGTACAAAAAAACTGTGGCTCGAACCCTATTCATAATTACCATCGTATTTGTCGTTCTACGTTTACCCTTTACCATATTGGTGATAATGCGTGACCGTATTATTGCCAATACAGAAAGTATGATAAAAAGTAGCTTTCGTATATTTTGGTATATCTCACAATATCTGATGTTTCTGAATGCTGCTATCAATCCGGTAATTTATGGCTATACTAATGATAATTTTCGAAGGGCCTATGAACAATTGCCGCTGTGTAAATCATGTTGCAGTCCAAAAACGAAGCTGCCAAAACCGAAACATGTAAGTCAGTCAAATAAATAAAAATATAATTTATTTCGAAATTCAAAAAGAGGGTTTTAATTAAATTTTAAATTAAAATACAATTTAAAATGTGGATACCAATTTTATGTTTAGATTTTTCACCTTTTTATTCCCTATATTTTATTTTTAGACTTTATGGAAATCGGTAAATATGTGGCTTCGTAAAAATCTATGTTGTTTCAAAACCACCAATGATTTCACCGGCAGTCTGCGGAATCAGAATTTGAACGTAGGCTTCATCAATGATACCATCGAAGCGGACAAAGTGGTTCAAAATAAACCTAAAGGCTCTGGAAATTCAACAATTGAAGAACATATATAATTATGTAAAATTTATTATAAAAATAAATAATAGGAACACAGTATGTTTGATAATCGATTTTTTTAAAGAATATTTTTTTAAGGCATAACTAAGGCGTGGATTTTTTAAAGAATATTTTTTCAAGGCATAACTAAGGCTTCGATTTTTTAAAGAATATTTTTTCAAGGCCTATCTAAGGCGTGGATTTTTTAAAGAATTGTTTTCAAGGCCTATCTAAGGCGTGGATTTTTTAAAGAATATTTTTTCAAGGCCTATCTAAGGCTTGGATTTTTTAAAGAATATTTTTTCAAGGCATAACTAAGGCGTGGATTTTTTTAAAGAATATTTTTTCAATGCCTATCTAAGGCGTGGATTTTTTAAAGAATATTTTTTCAAGGCCTAACTAAGGCGTGGATTTTTTAAAGAATATTTTTTCAAGGCCTAACTAAGGCGTGTATTTTTTAAAGAATATTTTTTCAAGGCCTATCTAAGGCGTGGACTTTTTAAAGAATATTTTTTCAAGGCCTATCTAAGGCGTGTATTTTTTAAAGAATATTTTTTCAAGACCTATCTAAGGCGTGGACTTTTTAAAGAATATTTTTTCAATGCCTATCTAAGACGTGGATTTTATTTAATAATATTTTTGTATGACCATTTAACTCGTGGAGTTAAATTTTAATTTCTAATTTATCCCTAATTTAAAAAAAAAATCCCAAGTGTGGCAACCCTACAAAATTGATCCCATTTTGTCACACGTTCCCATTACAGCTGTAATTATCACCCCAACCATTCTCACTTTTTTATGAATGAACAGTTAGTTGAAATCATTTTTTGGACCCATCACAAGTTCCTATCTATGTTCCTAATTGAAATGATAACGGTTTAATTTGCAATCACATTTCGATACAGTGTTTAAATGTGAAACATTTTTTTATAGAATATCAAAAAAAATGTCAATAAGAAATATTATAATATTTTTAATAATAAATTTTATTGCGATTGGTGTTGGATTTAATGTAAATTTCTATTATAAAAATGATTTGAATGTCGAAACATTCCATGGAAATACGCAGAAAAGGCAGCTGGAGGATTTTGTGTGGCCAGTGGATGAAGGTAAATATGGGGTGTGAAATTATATTTGAATTTTTTCCTGAGATAAATTTCCTATATGTTCTACGATATATTTTCTATATATTTCCATTAGATACACCAATGTTCCGCTTGAACCCTTGTGTTTTCGTATCAATTTGAAGCGGCTGATGTGTAGATTAAAGAAATTAATTATTTTGTCGAAGAAGTCCATCTGTTCATAGAAGAAAGTCTACGTAAGGGTCCTAGTGGAATTTTGGAAGCCCCCATGTCTATGTAAGGGTCCCTGCGAAATTTTGGAAGAAAGTTTGAGTTTTTACATACATAGTAAATTTTAAAAAGCATCTGAAATTCGAAGGATCTCATTCCGATATTGGCTTCAAATTGTGGATTTCCACAATAAAAAAATTCTCGTTGTAATCTAGACCCTTAGAACCAGGGACGTACGATTTTTTCATTTTGTACTACCGGCTGATTGATGATTTGTTCAATTGTTTCTAGTTCTTCTTCGTCCTCACATAGACGACAGTAATCCTCTCCGCTGGAGTCCCAATTCGAAGTGAGAAATCTGATCTTGCAGTGACCTGTCCCACAATGATTTTGATCTCTCTCTCTCTCTCTTATTATGTGCCAGCAGCGAAGACGTTCTTTTGCGAGAGAATTCACCTGCACCAATGCCTCCCTCCATCTTTGACCCGTCTGTAAAAAATGACAGACCTGGCAGAGGTAAGGAGCCACTAGTCCAGGATTCTCTACTAGGAAACACTACTTTGATGTCATTAATGTATCTGTGTGAGGGAACATAGTCACAAATATGTCTATTTCCCCTCAAGAGGTCACAACCTGGCGTTATGTTTAGGATACTAGCGTGACCATAGTTCAGCGATTTCCAGGCATCTATTTCCCGGAGCCTCAGAGCAAACCTGGCCGACTGGAATTTAATCAGAATGTCCAGTGGTTGGAGATTCAGGATTGCATTCAAGGCTGCCTGTTGTGTACTTCTTAACTTAGTTTTGTCAGCAGCATCTTTTTGTTGACCCCCTGCCACCAAACAAGAATGGGGAGGACGATCGTAACATACAGCCAGTATATGATCTCGGGTCTTAATCCCCAGGTCTTACCTATGGAGTTCTTGCATGAGGATAGTGCCAGTAGTCCTCAACATTCCTATTCCACGTTAATTTTCGATCAAGGATGCCAAGTGCCAAGGTATTTTGCTTCTTCAGAAAAGGTTAGGGTCACCCCTTCCAGTGATGGCAGGCTAGGGATCTTACGTTTCCTAATGAAGAGCATCAATTCTGTCTTAGGGTTTACCTTTGGCGTATCCCCAGTTAGACATGGTTGAAAGGGCAACCTCCAAAATATCTGTAATTGTCATTAGAAACTTACCACCAACCAGCAGGACTACATCATCGACATAGGCTACAACCTTTATCCTAGGATGATCGAACTTCAGCAGTATCTCATTTATCACCAGAAGCCACAGAAGGGGAGTATGCAGTATGTCTCTGTTGACACATTTCCTCACGGAAGTCTCTCCTAAGGATGAGTTGATAATTCTGCTTTCAAGTATTCTATCAATCCAGTTCGTTAGAAGTGAGGGGATACCTGTGCTTACGAGAGCAGAATGGATGGCTTCTAGCTTCACATTGTTAAACCCTATACATTACTTTTTCTATAATTCATACTTTGTGATTTAATTGGCTAAAATTTTTTTCCGGTCGGAACAGTTCTCCCACAAGGAATTATGTTTCTAAAACATTAATTATTTTTATTTAAAAAGGAAATATACAAAAAATTATTTAACAAATTTTGAATTATTTACAATACTCGTATAATAAACTACAAACTATTCTAACCCAAATAACTCCTTTTTCATATACCCAGAATTGTGATTCTCCAAATATTTCAAAAACAATGCCATATTCATAACACCATCACTATTTTCAATATCATCACAAAACAATTGTTCCTTGAAACCCTCAAAACGTCGTAATTTATCCATCTTATCTTTCGCTTTACGGGCAGATTCAATTTTACACAGCGATATCTTTTGCCAACCATATGCCCTTATGGTACGCCAAAATTCCTGAGTATTTTCTTTGGTACCCTCAACACAAATGATGCCAGGTTTACCGGGCCGACTGAAGCCCGTCAATTCCAAGTTGCGTGCCTCCTTAACAATTTCTTGACGTTTTGTTTTCGATTTTATGTGATGTGAATAGATCCACAGACGTTCAAAATCCAATAGTTCATCTTCTTGATTGGTCGTGGTGGTCATCACCTCAAAATCACTTGCCTTTCGTTGTATTAAATCATCAATGTGATCCTGCAGCCATGATAAAACCTGATAAATATATGTTTCACTTTTATCCATTGATTCAATATAAATTTCCAATTCCTTTTTCAAATAGATCTCTTTGTTTTTCGTTAGCAGTGGTGTGTGAACAATGACAATTGCATTTTCCAGCAGTGGATACATGTGCGGCAATTCTATGCGTACTTCCAGCTTTTCATTAGGTCTTCCACATTGCAACTTAATACTATAATCGAGGTGGGCTTTAAGGCACAACATTACATTTTCAGTGGTGGGATTTTCCAAGAATTCATTGAAATCACTTATAACACCCGGATCGAAAATGTGCATTTCTCCAGGACTACAATAAATCGAGGATAACATATCCACCTCTTCCAGCTGCTTGGCAATACATTCTTTATACATTTCCAATTGATCATCCATGCTGTTGGGATGGAGCTGAAAATAGAAAGAGTCCAAATTTTAGAATAATTATTTAATTTGAAATATTTTGTTTTCTTTTTTCAGAACCTCTAGTATTAAGTGGATTTAAAAAAGTGAATTCCCTACCGATGCCATTTCCTTTAGATGTTTGTGTTATTCATATCGAGGAATCGGATCATAAATATGCTGCAGCTTTACATCGCAACGAGAAGGGTTCGAAACAGTTTACAGTACTTAAAATTGTGGTAGGTATAATAAGTTCGAGCTGTATACACATTTTTTTATAGAAAATAGTTCACAGATCCAAAGGCTATATTTTTAAAGGGGATCCAGGACTACATTTTTTCTATAGAAAAAAGCACGGACTGAAGGTCTACATTTTTTTCTGTAGAAAAACACACTGTCCCTTAGGTTTACTTTTTTTCATAAAAACAAAATTCACCAACAACAAGGTCTACATTTTTTCTATAGTAAAAAATTTCACAGACCCCCAAGTCTATCTTTTTTATAGAAAAAATTTCGCAGACCAAGAGGTTCACAAACTTTTTGTAAAGAAAAATATTCACAGGCCTTAGGGTCTATACTAGGCTGTTTCTCCGCCGTTTGTTGTCCAGCGACAGCCGCATATGAGGTAGATGGGTCAGCCAGACGCGAAGTCATCGTCTTCTTGGGTGAAGGTTGCGGACCTTCTGAAGAACGGATGCGCTTCACAGATTTGCTCTGTGGGTCGGCATTTGCTCTCGCAGGAAACGATGGTTCCTTGTCGGACTTTCCCTGCTATCTATTTCGACCATTGGTGGATCCAACCAAAGCTTTATTTCCACCTTTGTCGCTAGGCGTAGAATCGGGGTTTGAGACACAGCCCTCCACACGTTGTCACCCTGGGTGACATTTTGTTTCGGGATGTGCCTTTTGACTAGGGTTAGGCTTCGAGCTGGGCTTCAGATCAGAAGTCGGCTTAGCACCTTTGTCAGGGACAGGGGGTTTCGCCGATTCCACCACTTTTATGCGAGCAGTAGGATTCGGGAATGAGCTCCTGTCCATCTCGAGTTCACGATGGAGAGCGTGCGGATATTCTTTCGAACATCCTTACGAATCTCATCTTGCGATTGATGAGGTGAACCTCCCTCTTCGAAATCAAATTCGCGTCTTGCCCCACGAAACAGCACGTTTTTAGTGTTTCGCTACTTCTAGGGCCTTCCCAACATTTGAGCCGCTGTCCGTTGCTGGGGTCTCGATAGATTCCCCATCGTCGGACATCGCCTCGCAGATTGCCTCTGAAGTTTATTGTCGGCAAGTGCTGACACAGGATTTGTTGTAGTCAGACTTGAAGTCGGTCGGTCAACAGGGTCTGCGCTTCCTTCGTTAATGCTACAACAATCCCCCTGTGTAGACTTGGGCAAGGCTATGGAAGGGGTGTTCCTGTCTGATAGGCCTGTTTACTGTATTGTTCGACTGCTTGTGGATGCTATTGGGACCTGTGTGATAGATATGCTGTTTTAGATTGAATCTTTGGATATCTTTTTCTCGATCATGAAGATATTTCCTGACATACCTGGGAAGCCTGACTAAAAGGCCATGACAGTCTGATAGGGCTGTTAATCTAGAGATTCATACTGTATTCGTCTTCTCCCTGGCCGACCGTTGAGTTGATCATTATTGCTTTATAAGAGGTCTGCAAGGTATCCTTATCAGAGCTTTTTGCCGGACAGCGACTTGAGAACCCTGTATTACTTCTCATCTTATCGTAAATATCAGTGGCTTGTGCTGACAACTTGAAAATCCTTTAACATAGTCCCCACGGCATCTGAATCTCTAAACCAGATTGACTCGTAGGAAGACTTCGACTTCGTATTATTTTTAATTCCCTTGAGGAAAAAAATATTTATTACCAGTTTTTTTTCTAATTTTCAGAATAAAACCCATGAACCACTTGGAAGTTATGCTCTACCGAATGCCCTCTCTATGGATTGTACTACCTACAATGGAAAAGGTTTTGTTTCAATTGTAGAGGTGAATATAACAAAACATGTCTCCGAAGATACAGCCACAATCTATGAGATAACTTCGCAGCATGTCAAACCCATTCAATCCATAAAAAATACGCAGTTGAAAAGCACCCATCTACATGTCAGCGATAATGAATGCTATCTCTTTCAAATTACCAGTAATGGAGAATCCTGTCCATATTTTAAATGGTCCAGTGATAAAAATTTTAAACATATTGGAACTTTACATTGTCCGAACAATACTGAAAATTTAAAACCATTTACAATAAATCAAGAAGCCTATATTGCAATGGCAGTTAACGATGACAACTCTTCGAAAATCTTCAAATATTCTCGAAGTTCGAAACAATTTGAATTATATCAAAATATCGAAACAACAAAGGCCAAGGATGTGGAGTATTTTCAAATACAGGAAAGGAATGAGGATACAAAACATTATCTAATTTTTGCCTCTAGCGGAGAGGATAATTCGATTGTCTATTTTTTCAATGATCAAAAGCGGTTTGTACCCTATCAGAAATTATCTTTAAATAGGGTCAAGAAAATTCAGGTCATAAAGGTAAGGGGAACTTGAGATTTATTTTAAATTTTCTGATTGAAATAAACTTTCATCTCTTGCAGTTTGAAATGTCTTGCCTTCTCATGGCCTCCTGTTCTGAAGATGATATTCTGGCATATCGCTTTGATAATGGAAAATTCATGGAATTACAGTTGCACTTTACGGGTCAAAATTTTCATTTATATCGGGAAAATGATAAACCTTTTTTGTTAATTTCCCATAGCAATGCGGTGGAAAATCAAGCCGTCTTATATGAACCTATTTTTAAGGACGTAACAAAACTACAAAAATTAAAGCAGGATATTAGTGAATGGCTTGAACAGGAATCTAGGAAATTACAAATTAATGATATTGAGAAATTGGCCGCAAAAGTGCAGGTAACAGATCAGGTCCTAACTCTTTTCAAAAATTTGAAACTGGGGTTCTCCGAATTTTTTTCTATAGAAAAAAATTTGGAACGGGGGTTGACCGATTTTTTCCGAAAAAAAGTGTGGAACTGGGGTTCTCCGAATCCCCATATATATTTTCGTCCGATTTTTTTTAAGGGATGTTCAAAAGTAGAATCTGAACCGATTACAACAAAACTTCATAGACATTAAACTGGACCTAATTCAGCACGCTGTGCAAAATTTTGTCTCAATCGGACAAATATTGAGAGTTTGGTGCACCAATTAGGTAAAATCGGACGAAACTATAGAAAAAAATTCGGAGAACACAGTTCCATAGTTTTTTCTATAGAAAAAAATTCGGAGAACCCAGTTCCATAGTTTTTTCTATAGAAAAAAATTCGGAGAACCCAGTTCCATAGTTTTTTCTATAGAAAAAAATTCGGAGAACCCAGTTCCATATTTTTTTCTATAGAAAAAAATTCAGAGATCCCAGTTCCATATTTTTTTTTATAGAAAAAAATTCAGAGATCCCAGTTCCATATTTTTTTCTATAGAAAAAAATTCAGAGATCCCAGTTCCAAATTCGGAGAACCCAGTTCCATATTTTTTTTCTATACAAAAAAATTCAGAGAACCCAGTTCCATATTTTTTTTTCTATAGAAAAAAATTCAGAGATCCCAGTTCCATATTTTTTTCTATAGAAAAAAATTCAGAGATCCCAGTTCCATATTTTTTTCTATAGAAAAAAATTCAGAGATCCCAGTTCCAAATTTTTTTCTATAGAAAAAAATTCAGAGAACCCAGTTCCATATTTTTTTCTATAGAAAAAAATTCGGAGAACCCAGTTCCATATTTTTTTCTATACAAAAAAATTCGGAGAACCCAGTTCCATATTTTTTTTTTATAGAAAAAAAAATCGGAGAAAAAAATTCAGAGAACCCAGTACCATATTTTTTTCTATAGAAAAAAATTCGGAGAACCCAGTTCCATATTTTTTTCTATAGAAAAAAATTCGGAGAACCCAGTTCCATATTTTTTTTTATAGAAAAAAAAATCGGAGAACACCAGTTTAAAAATGTTTTCTATAGAAAAAAAATTCCCGGAACACCAATTTCGAAAATCATTCTGTAGAAAAAAATTCGCGGAACACCAGTTTCAATTTTTTTTCTATGGAAAAAAATTCGCGGAACACCAGTTTTAAATTGTTTTCTATTGAAAAAAATTCGCGAAACCTCAAAAAAAAATCGCGGAAATTTTTTCAATATATGTCTGCATCTTTTCTAGAATAAACGCAGTATCCTCGAATCCTATGTTGCAAAATTGAAGAGAGCTATAACCCCAAGCAATATTGATACCGTCTCCACGAAATCGGTAAAATATTGAAACATTAAATACGATATTCATTTTCATTAAAAACTCCTTTTTTAGTTGGTCTATCCAAAAAAGAAAATGTCCTCGAATTATTGGCAAACCTTGTGCTATATAAATCAGGCTTTGAAGATACTTGAAGATGAAGTGGTTCCAAAACACCCTACAAAACGTCAAACTAAGGAAAGCGACCACGAAGAGTCTTCGGAATATGTTTATGAGACCCTCAACATAAAGCAGTTAACTATCGACAATAAATTAGAAGCAAAGATAATCAACAAAATAAATATTGAAAATCCCGAATTCCAGGCAATACATGCCGACAAAATAACCATTTTTGAACAATTCTTAAAACCTCTTCCCGAAGATAGGTCATCCGATCTAAACTATATGGAAGATAATGAAGTGCTCATGATTGAAAATTTGAATATTAATGGAAAATTAAATGAATTTACATGGATGGAACTATTAAATGATACACTAAAACGAGAGGGTGATCAGCAATTGATAAATGCTCCCAATATTAAAATAAAGAATTTAGAAACCTCGCGACTTGTTGTGACCAGTAATGTTGTAAATCAACAACATTTGAGTACTCTAATACCCATAGATGGTGGAGAATATGTCATCAATCAAGATATACAATTTGCCCAACCGATTCGTGCCAAATCCGTG